TTGCTGAAATTGACGTCCCTTCCGAAGCGGTTGCTGTGGGAGTAGCTGTAATTGCACTTTTCGCTGACTCAAGTGAATTTGCTGACGTGATCATGGTGGTTGTCTGCGTAGCAGTAGACGTCGTTGGAGTCATACTAGCTGCCGTATCTGTGGTTGATGATGTTATCGTACTTGGCGCTTGTGTTACAGTTGTCGACACCGACGTCGTAGAAGGCGCAGCGCTTGTTGTCGTTGAAGTTTTTGCAGAAGATGCTGCTGAGCTAAAGTCTTCGGTTGTAGTTTCTTCCATCTTCGTCATTTCCATAGCAAGCAGTTGTTCAGCTGTGGTCGTCACCGACGTTGATTGCAATTGAGATGTCGTAGTTACTGGTACCGCTGCAGTCACGTTTGCTGTAGTCGTCAAAATCACAGTGCTTGTCTGCTCGTTATCGCTAGTCGTAGCTGCCACTGTGGTACTTATTTTGGGTTCAGATGTGGTCATTGCGACAGTTGCAGTACCAGTCGTTGCGGTAGTTTCTGCTAATGTCGTTGCCAATGTACTGCTAGATGCTCTCGTGGTTGAGCTCTCTATGATACAGCAAGTTAAACTTTTACTAGTTGAACTCAATGCTTGAGTCGTTGAGCTAGCCCTGATAGTCTCGGTTGTAGTGCTTGATGTGATTTCTGCCGATGTCGACGCCAATGTACTAGATGATTCAGTGGTTGAAGCAGTTCTGATACAACATGCCGTAGTGGTGTTAGTTTTAGTCTCGATCGATACCGATGTCGCAGTCTTGGCTCCAGTGCTTGTTGTAATATCCGCTGATGTCGATACCAATGTACTTGGTGCTTGAGTTGTTGAGCTAGTCCTAGGTTCGGTTGTAGTGCTTGTTGTAATAGCTGCTGATGTTGTTGCCGTTGTCGTACTAGTAGGTGCCTGAGTGGTTGAGCTCCCTCTAACGCAACAAGTTATAGATTTACTAGTTCTAGTCTCCGTCACAGTTGCAGAAGTTGTTTTATCTGCTGATGTT